TAAAGGAACCGAATATATTGTAATATTGAAGTGACCGCAGTGATTAGGTGATCACCAGGTAAGGCGTTATAAAGCCGGGCGATCGGCCAAAATCTCGGGCTGACTCTCTCCCACTTTAAGAAAAAAAAAAAAAGGAAAAAGGAAAAGAAAGAGTCGATTCTCAATTTTTATTAAATTCAAATCCATACGAAACCTTTTTTGGCTCGACTTACAATAATTTAATTAACAATCAATTTATATTTAAATTTTTGCATTAGTCGTAAACGATAAAATTAAGGGCAACAAGTTTTATTTATGCGAATATTGATGTTATCATCGTATGATCGTTGTTAAATTACTCCGAGGAAGATACTTTATTATATCTATATTGCAACAGAAAAATTCAAAAGGTTTGGAGACAATGAGAATTAAATTCCCATTACACGCATGCGTGTGACCTCATGCGTGTAAAATCGAAAAGAATAAGATTTTTATCATCGAAAGAAAAGATAATCTTAAAAAAATTATTCAAGCAACTACTGCGAATGTGACAAAAAAAATTTACTATTTAGTGCAATGTGTAGCAATAACACGCCAGTTTTAAAAAATTTGCAAACGGTGCACATTTAGTTTTAAAAATTCTCATTCTCCTTATCTCCATGACCATCACAAGAGCAACAATCTTATATTTCGGTGCTATAGGGTACATAGAGTGCGACTTGTAGATTAGCCTAAAATCCATACGGTTTTTGTCGGTAAAACTATCAGTAAACGAATGAAAGTACGAGTGAAATCATTCGGGTCTGAAACTTAATAGAATAAAAAATTTTCCTAAAAAATATTTTTGAATGACGGTCACTTAGAACGCTAATTTCAATAAGTTAAAATTTATTTTTAAATGGCTTTGCGCCTTTTTAAAACGTTAGCACAATCGTCGACATTAGTCAGAAACATCTTATCACGTCGTTCTTTGGAGGGGCTGAAACATGTCCATTAATTTTTAAGTTTTGTTTAAGAACTTGCATATAAACTCGAGTCATTTGGTCGACTCGTGTCAGTAAAAAGTTCGAACTACTGTTTGTCACATAAATTTCTAATTCTTTAACTTTCGAGCCAATGCAATGAGTACTTCAGCTGTAATAATCTTCGCTGTATGCATCACCTTCGTTTCATCGGTACGTATATATTATTTATTAGGAATTCTATAAAAAATCTGCCATTTTGGGGGTGAATAAATCTAAGTCTCGGCATATACTTTTTCTTCGCTTTTTTAAATTTTCGATACACAATTAATTTTAATTAAATTACACAACTTTTTGACATTTTTTGTATCATAACTCTGCCCCAAAGGGTCTGAGTGAGTTGCTTAAAGAAGAAAAATCAAGCACTTGAAAAAAGCTTTAATTCTCACGTTTGAAAAGCCTCAAACAGTTGCCCAACATCATAGTTGTTGACACTCAAAGCTTGAGAGGAGAGAAACAATTCAACTAATTTTATTACAATTTTTTTACTTGCAAGCTCATTCTGACGATGATCATATTAAAAAAGGGAATTGAAACTTGTCTTAAAAGCTTAATTTTTCTTTATTGAAAGACTCTGTACGACCTTTTGGGACAAAATTACGATAACAAAATTTAAAAACAATTGTACTTCAACATTTTATGATTTGTATATTGCTTCATCCCAGGAGATCGTAAAGAGTTATGAATAAAAAAGGAAAATAAAGCTTTAGAAATAAGCCTTAATATTCTTTTTGAGTTGTTAAAAAATTTGATGACCAACTAAAGATATGAGCGATGACAGTATAACAAATGGCAGAATTATTTATATTTATAAAAATTTGCGTTTTTTCGATATTTTTTTCTAGCTT